GTCACATGCTTGAGGTATTTGGCCAATCACAACGCACTGGATAGCTGGCCAATCACAGCACACCTCGCTTTTCAGACTGATGAGCTTTGTAAAAATCGACGCGTTTCAGAAGGCGGGGCATAGAGGAGAAACAATAATGTACAGTATGTGGAAAATAATGTTTTTTTAACTTTAAACCGCATAAACACATTTCATTACACCAAATACACAAAATAATGTTATTTTTAGCAACATCATATGACCCCTTTAAGAGTTTACTTCTGTGAATATTTCGGTTCTAAATGTCTTTTTGAAACGTTGAATTATGGCTGAGGCAAAATGCAGCAGGGCACATGAAATAAAACGTTATAAAAACGTAATAAACATCATTTTGTGACCACACGTTATTTAGAGTGAGTCGAATATTAATCAAATTTCACTGAATCATTTTTGGAAATGAACTGTTCAAAAGAACCGAATCGTGCCGTATGGTAATCGCAAGGGTTTGTGGGATTGTCAGTCACAGTTACACAAAAAAATCTCAACGCACGAAGTACGAAATATTGATTATACAACGCAAATGTTCGTTTCATACCGAAACCTTTTAGAAATGTATAGGCAACCTTTGAAAGAACATTTCCAAAATGGGGAAAAAAAGCAATTTTTAAAACCCTCATTAATCCGTTAATAAGAGCGAATAAATACTCCGCGCTTTGCGAGAACTCCGCGGTGGCGTCATGGGACGTTTTGAAACTCGAATATAGCAATAATGTTGCAGCTGGCAGTATTATGGCACGATATGAGGAATCAATAGGACACAGGCAGTCATGTGACTGCGCTTACATCTCGGTGGGTGGGCAGCAGTCTCTCCATGTCTTACTGCTGTATTCGGCAGGGGGAAAGCCATGCATTCTCGATCATTTTAGAGCTGTGCTGTCATGAGGGCTGCTTGCACCCTTGAGTAACGTTTCGCTATGCTTTTTGACAGCACTGCAATGTATTCCTGAGTCCCTCTTTCATGCATACTGATGATATCTGTCATTCTAGGTTGTGCTGTGCATGGCTGAATTTTGTGGTGCAGCAGCAAGAATCATGGCTGGCCTTCTTGCCTTTAATATTTGCCTTTGCTGCCCTGCTGAGAAGAAGAGCCCTCATATGCAAGCTTTTAACTGAGACAGCCCTTTCTTACAATAACTCACAGGTAGGTCAGCATCTGTTCTTTGCTCTTGGAATGGGTCTTTCTGATAGCTGTCATTGTGGTAGGCCAGGAGGGTTGCTGATAATGGGGTGTAGTGGAGAGCATACATGCACTTATTGGCCGTAGCATTGCTTCCGTCATGGTTTTCTTGTTTGAATGGGGGATTTTGTTCGCTGTACTTTGAGTCTGTTGGTTTGTTGTGCAATAGCTACATGCATTCATGTTCTTCTCATTGCAGAAGTCATCAGAAGTGAACCGCTCAGTGCAAATTATTCAGGGTCCAAGGCTAAAACGGCCTCATGTAGGCCACATTGAACAACCTCCTACTTTATATAATGCATTATAGTAGGAATATAACTTTCAAATTTTTTTTGTGTAGTGGAGAGCATACATGCACTTATTGGCCGTAGCATTGCTTCCGTCATGGTTTTCTTGTTTGAATGGGGGATTTTGTTCGCTGTACTTTGAGTCTGTTGGTTTGTTGTGCAATAGCTACATGCATTCATGTTCTTCTCATTGCAGAAGTCATCAGAAGTGAACCGCTCAGTGCAAATTATTCAGGGTCCAAGGCTAAAACGGCCTCATGTAGGCCACATTGAACAATGCATTATAATGCATTATAGTAGGAATATAACTTTCTAATTTTTTTAAAATCAACATGAAATCAAAATCGACCCCGTTTACTTTCTTATTGCATGTGTTGCTTCTACCGCTAAAGATTATTTGACAAAATATAATTATATTTTATATTTATAAATGTGTTTATATTTCTAAAAAAATTATTTATTTAATCAAAATGCTGTAACTTCGCTCATCTTGTGAAACAACTACAGTTGATGACATGTAGGCCGTGCAATGCAATTGGATGATGTTAACAAATAGCCAAACAACTATTTAGGCTTTATGTTTTTGTAACGTGGCATTCAGTTTATGCTGCATACTAAAAAAATCTCACTGAATATTCAATTTCACATCAGATTAGAAAAGTACAATAAGTTCATGGACTAGTTTGGCTAGTGTTGGAAATAGCATTTGATTGGTCTTGACTTTAGCATTTTTCTGCATTGTTAGGGTGTCTCAGAGTATTTTGTTTGCTTAGCAAAGGCCAAATGACAGAAACAAGAACATCTGGTGCTTATTTTTATATTAGCAGCGTAACAAATGGTGCCATCATGTAAGAGAACAACACCATCACTGCATTGTAAATAATGTCACTAAAGCTTCTGTAAGGTTCTTACCGTAAAAATGCCACAAATATGCCTGACCCTATTGGATTGAATGTTCCTCTATGCACTTGCATGAAAAAACAACACACATACATGATTTGATTGCAAGCTAGCTAACGCCATCATGGGCCTTTGTTCTTCCTGCTCGCAGTCTCTCTGCAAACGTCATTCCAGAAGATTCCCTTCTTCCCTTACACCCCTCCTTCCAGTCCCATCTCATATTCTCTCATTTTTTTCTCCACCTCTCCTTTCTGCCTGTTCCTCACACTCTCTCCTCGAATCTGTTTGTCTTCTTTGGCTGCAGCAGCTGGTTGCAGACTTGAGCTAGAGTCTCATCCCCGCGTCCCCCTCCCCCCGACGAGTGCAGGCAAAGACAAAAGGCCAGGGCTGCTTGTCGGAACACTGCCCCCTTCCTCCCATGCGCTGCCGTGTGCATCTGCAGAGGAAAGAGTGACCTATAGAACGGGAACCAGCAGGCTCATAGTGAAGGGGGAAAAAAATCACACTCATACAGAATGGGGCCTGGCTGGACTGACGTCTTGCATAAGCCTTTCCACGAAGATTCCCGGTAGTAGGGCCGAGGCGAAGCGGGGTAGGGCGAGAGCCTGCTTTTTCCCTGTTTGTGTGTCTCTGCGTGTGTGTTTTTCTACGTTTCACGGCCTTTGTTTTCTCTCTTGTTTGGCAGAGACCGGACACGGTTGCCCAGGGCTGGAGGATTAGGGGACAAGCAGCTGATTTTAATTGAGAAAGAGCCGTGTTTCTCACCGGTTTTCGGGGGGAAAGGCGAGAGGAAGAAGCAGGGACACTGGCTAGAAGAGAGGAACAGGGACCATGGAGAGTGTGAGAGTGAGGGAGAGAGAGAGAGAGGGAGAGGGGAGGCAGAGAAGGAAGTAGAAGCAGTCCAGTGCTGCAGAATGGGGTAAAACCGAGAGGCACAATCAAAAAGAGGTCAGGTACCGAGCCTGTTTAAATTCTCCTTACTATCTCTGTGTCTTGTTTTCTTCTGTCAGGAAACGGTGCTCATCTTGTGGTTTTGGTTTACACAGTGCTTGTGGTTTTCCTCTGGAATGTGCATCTGCTTTTTGGCTTTTCATTTTTCCTTCTCTCATTCATCCATCCATCAATCCATCCATATAAACCAGCCTCTGGTGTGCATGTATTTTTCATAAGCGTCCTGCACAGTCTGTGTTTTTCAGGCCTAGTGTTTGATTCGGCTCGGCAACGTCAACTGCACACGCATTCTGAACACAAACCTCTTCGATAATATTAACACACACTTAAAGCAGGAATATTTTGCAGGAATATCGAAGATTTGATGAAGAAACTGCCAGCTTCTGTGTCTCCAGTGTGGCTGCACTGCAGCACACACATTATGCAGGGTGACCGGAACCGGCTGAAACCGGTTTGAGGCAGACGAGGAGGCTCGGAAACAATACAGTCACTGTGCTACAGGCAGATAACCGACTGCTTCATGGCAGCCAAAATGGCAAAGGGGTCTTCAGGAGTGATGCAGCTCAGAGCAGAGACGTTAAAGAGACGGTCTTTGCGCACCTCCAGATGGTTATGCACGTCAGGGCCGGGAGGCAGCCATGAGAACTGAGCAGATATGGTGACCGTGGGTCACTGTGTGCTGTTATTCATGGTGGTCACCATCCAGAATGGTCTCTGGCGTGCCTTTCCTCCTGGTGGATCATTTCTTGAAGGGCCCTGCCTAGTGCAAAAAGTGGATTTTTTTTCCTCTGCTGTCAGGGAGAAAGGAGGAGGAGGGTGGTGGTGGTGTTTTGTTGTGGAGGTGGTGAGAGGAAGGAAGGAAGAAGGGATGGAAAGCAAGATTGTTTGCTCTAGTTGTCAGAACACCGAGGGTGAGGAGTGGCTCATTTGCATGTTTCCACTTCTATATGTTTGCATGTGTGTGTTCTCTTTTATTATGTGTGATATTTTGTATTGTTCTGATAGTTGGGCTACTGCGTCGTACACCGGCCTGATTTTAAAGGCCTCGGATAGAAACCCAAAATTCACAGTTGTTTTCCTGTGAGCGACACTCTCATTTGAGATCAGGCTGTTTGGCTGTAAATGTGTTTAGGCCCCATACTGGCTTCAACTGCTTAATGTCTTTCATTAAAATCCTCTTTTGTTTGCTGCTCCTTCTCTGCTTACATGCCTTACCACATTGGCTCCATTGTGTGCGGGGAAGGCTGTCTTGGCCCGGCGCACCCTGTGCGTGCAGATGTTATTAGCTGTAATGGAGGTAGGGCTGCGGTGTGAGCGACACTCTCATTTGAGATCAGGCTGTTTGGCTGTAAATGCTAATCGTACTAGCACAATACAGCTTTATTTTCTTTGTGATATTTTTTTCTCTTAGCACTTTAAGTATGCCAAAATAGTGATGTTCATATGTGATTCATATGTGATTGTGTTTTTAGTTAGTATTAACATTTTAGGATCAACTCTGAGGAACAAATCTGTAAAAATAAATACAAAAATAAATTATTCAGGGGGGAAATCATTATTTTTTACAAAATGTATTATTTTTCATACGATGTGGTCTTATTTTAATGCTAATCGTACTAGCACAATACAGCTTTATTTTCTTTGTGATATTTTTTTCTCTTAGCACTTTAAATATGCCAAAATAGTGATGTTCATATGTGATTCATATGTGATTGTGTTTTTAGTTAGTATTAATATTTTAGGATCAACTCTGAGGAACAAATCTGTAAAAATAAATACAAAAATAAATTATTCAGGGGGGAAATCATTATTTTTTACAAAATGTATTATTTTTCATACGATGTGGTCTTATTTATTTTTTTTTATTTTATATATTCAATATTCATTTTATTTTTTTATATATTAAAGGGGTGGTTAATTGCGATTTAACTTTTTTAACTTTAGTTAGTGTGTAATGTTTATGTTTGAGCATAAACAATATCTGCAAAGTTACAAAACTGAAAATTCAATGCAAACGGCTTTTAAAATTCTGGCAGTTTAATGCCTACAAAAACAGCTGGTAGGAACTACAACAAGTTACTTCCCGGGTTCGTGACATCACAAAACCAGATAAACCCTGCCCTCGGTAAAATGCAGCAGAGGGGGCGAGGCCATGCTGCGCTGCTTTAGAGAAGAGGAAGAGAAAACTAGAGGTGCACGTAAAAATCACGATTCAGTCTTCTAACGATTCTAATGGATTCACAGGTTTCAAAATCAATGTTCAAAAGCAGCAGTTCTCAAGACTGTTCCTCGCGTTCCCCTGCTCTGCGCTCCTCTCTCTCTCTCTCTCTATGAACTGTTCTAATTATACACTTATTTTCACATAGCTATGAGAAGCATTAAACATGGATGCGCATGCGGTTGCTGTACTGTATTAAATCTTTAATCAGGATAAAACCGTATATTAAAAGCTAACATAAGCAGTAGCATTTACAACAGCGTATATAAAAAGTATGAGACAACAACAAACAAAAAGCATAGGCCTACCATTAAAAGC